GTTACCCATAGATACACAGACACTCACATACTTGTAGGACACACTTTATTTTATATATATATATGTATGTGTGTGTGTATATATGTGTGTGTGTGTATATATATGTATAGCTTATCTATTCTAGAAATTGATCAGCCATGAATAATTTTTAAAGCAGCTGGCTTGAATTATCTTTTGTGGGATTTGCATGGTAAGAAGTTTTCAGTATTTAATTTGAACAATGAGAAAAATATGGCTACAGCTCGTCTATTTGACAAATAAGTCTGTCTTGGGGCCAGAGGCATTAGGAATTCTTAACAACCAGTCTGCACCATTATTTCAGAAAAATCTGGTGCCTGATTTGCCCAGCTCTGCTCGGGGTTTCTTTCTTTCTTTCTTTTATTCTTCCTGTGTCTCTTAATTTAAAAAAACCTCACACAGCCCTTTCTCTGCAAAGTGAAATGTTATAATTGCTCTTAACACTCATCGATTTCCTCAGGGAAAAACCTAGGACCATGGAACCTGAGGCCTTAAAGTTTAGAATAGTGAGCTTCGGGTTTTGTTGGGGAATTTTGAGTCTATAAATTTATTCCACCCCCAAATTTACCTGCTATTCTTAGTCCTTGTTCTCTTGCTGGCCATCTGAGAAATCATGGCGATGAGGATGACTGAATTTCAAAATCGCAGGCCTGGGGGTATCCAAATGATTGCACAGCCCAAACCTCAGGCGGATGATACTCACAAACCCGTTTCTTAGAGATGAAGCTATTGAGGCCAAGAAGCTCCTGATTGGGTCAGAGGCACACAGTGGAGGAGGGGCTAGAACCCAGCAGCTGGTTTCTCCTACGGTACCCTTCCCATTAGAATTCAGTAGTCTAACTCCTTCTGTGCTTAAAGACCACCTGGGCAGTGGAGCTCCGCTGGGGGCCAGCAAAGCCCTTCCACCAACATATTTGCATGTATGTTTGCTTTCAAGTCAAATTCCCTACCTTCCTCTCCCATATAAGCATTCCCATATAAAAATTCTGGAGTCTAAATAGTACTATCTACTAATGTTTCTTTGCATTTGTTAAAATGAAGGTTCCAGGCCTTCAGTCCAGAGTATCTGATCCCACAGGTGTGGGGGGAAGTGAATGAACTTGACATTCCCCTTTCCCGCCCCGGCATGATCCTGTGGTCTTTGGAGCACACTTCGAGAAGCTGCTCCAGCCAACGTATTAACTGACACTTCTAGAGTCCACAACGCCTTAATTCAGAGAAGCACTTCCTTTTTCTGTAAAATATAAGACCTGGAGGATCTTGCCAGGGAACAGGTTTTGAGGAAAGAGTTTCTTCAACAGCTCTCACTCCAATGTGGAACAGCCTCCTTTAATTAACTGACAGATGGAGTCTTCTGAGAAGTGTGGAATGAACTGAGGAGTTTATTTAAAGGGTCCTTGGGAGACTGAGGTGGGCGGATCACGAGGTCAGGAGTTCGAGACCAGCATGACCAACATGGTGAAACCCTGTTGCTACCAAAAATACAAAAATTAACTGAGTGTGGTGGTGTGCACCTGTAATCCCAGCTATTCAGGAGGCTGAGGCAAGAGAATTGCTTGAGCCTGGGATGCAGAGGTTGCAGTGAGCCAAGATCATGTCACTGCACTCCAGCCTGGGCAACAGAGCGAGACTCTGTCTCAAAAAAGAAAAAAAAAAAAAGACGTCCAAGAAACCTGGGCAAAGAAACTGAACTCCTCAGTGGAGGAGACTCCTAGTGCAAGGAGTGGAAAATGAGGGACAGGGAGGGGAAGCATTAGTGGAAGGTGTACGGAACCTGCTTGGAGTTGAGCTTTGATCTTGAGGAAAACTGTCATACGGGTTCCACCAAACAACACACTTCAGCGATTGTTTCCTTGAACTTTGGCCTACATTAACGAAGAATCTGGGGCAAATTTTCACAGGTTCTTCCTCACTTTATTCATTTTAAAATTTTTTGATAATAACTTTATTGAGATATCATTCACATACCCTACATACAATTTACCCATTAAAGTGTACAATTCACTGGTTTTTAGTACATTCAGAGTTGTACAATCATCAGTACAATCAATTTTAGAACATTTTCACCACCTTAAAAAGAACCCACATATCCTTTAGCCATCATCCCCCAACAATCTCCCCATTTCCCCAGCCCTAAGCAGCTGGTAAGCTACTTTCTGTCTCTACAAATTTCTCTATTCTAGACAATTTAGATAAATGGAATCATATAATATGTGGTCATTTGTGACTGGCTTTTTTCACTTAGCATAATGTCTAAAAAATTTTTAATTATTGTGGATACATGATAATTGTACATATAATGGGGTACATATGATATTTTGAAACTTAGTATAATGTTTTCAAGGTTTCTACATGTAGCATAGATGAGCACCTCATTCCTTTTTTACTGACAAATATACTCCACTGGCTGCATATTCCATGTTTTGTTAATCCATTCATTCAGTTGATTGACACTTGGGCTGCTTCCACTTTTTGGTTGTTGTGAATAATGCTGCTATTTGTGCACTGGTTTTTGTGTGAATATGTTCATTTCTTTTGGGTATATACCTAGGAGTGGAATTAGTGGGTCAAATAACAATAAACACTATACTTGACTTCTTGAGAAATTGCCAGACTGTTTTCAAAAGTCATCACTGTTTAAAAAAATTTATTAAGACAAAGGGAAATCAATGGCTCTGAATTATCCTATAAGAGCTTAGTTACATACAGCTTGCTCAGATCTAACTAAAGACTTAATGTAAGCAGGGTTTGGGAGATGCAAAGAATCAAGCTTGGTTTACAAAAATACCAAGCCCAAATACTTGAGATTTTTTATTGGCATAATTTTAAAGGTTGGGGTAGTGTTATATGGATTTGCGTTTATAACCAGAAAAAGAAACTCAGTTATAAACATGGCCAATAACAACAACAACAACAACAACAAATGACTGTATGACAACCCTTAATTAGTAGCTTTGGAAAAGTTTTAGTCACCTTATAAGATGAGTAAAGCCTTTAAGACGATAAAATCATCTATGGATTTCAGTTACTTCTGCTATCATCTGTTTCTGCATGGGGAAAAAGGCTTTAAAAATTTTAAGAATAAAGTATTTGGAAATACTTTACAGTATTTAAGTATAAAATATACACAGAGACGCACACAAATCATAACTGTAACTCCATGAATTTTCTCAAAATGAACCTTACTCATGTAATTAGCACCCACATCAAGAAAGAAATAGTCACTAGCACCCCTTGAAACCCTCTTTCCAGTCATAATCATGTCCCTCCCCAAGGACCAGAGGATATCCTGACTTCTAACAGCAAGTCTAACAGCAAGTGTCTATTCTTAGACACAAATAATACATTTTTAATTGTAAGTTTCAGATGTCAAGAACTGGCCAATGAAATAGATTTGTTTAGCGGAGAGAATTTCTTAAGACTCAGTCAGACTTACTATTAATACATGGTTAAAAATTAAATACTGTTAAGCTTGTATATAAAATAGAGTATAACTTCAGCCCAAAGAAGCTTTTCATTTAACATCAGCAGCAATTTAAGAGCATATACTGTATGGCATTTTAAAACTGAATCAACAGACTTTAAACCCTTATTTTGAAAGACATCTCCCTTTTCCTCCAGAATTTGAATGTATTCATGGGAGCAGTCTGTAAAGGAAGTCCTAGGCACCATTAATGACATGTGCTTTAATAATTTAAGAAGTGTGTATGTAAACTTGGGCACATTGACAGTATATCACATTGTGGATTAAAGTGTAACGACCAATATAAATACAGCTTCCACAAACAGAGTATAAAAACTGACACACACTTTTCTTGGTTTATTGGGTGGGAGGATGTTAAATACCTTACGATAAGATAAGTTTTCTAATACTGGAACTGACTAACTGCCAAGAACACTGCTGTGGTTCTTATCAGCAAAAAAAGTCTATTATAATCATTTTAGGTACGAAACTTTCTACGCATTAGAATTCTTCCAAGGTGAAAAGCATATTACTAAGGGAATTCATTTTGCAAAGAAGAATCATCCTTTTTTTTTTTTCTCTAAAGATTTTTCATATATTACCAAAATAGTTTAGGATTTTATTAGGATATTTCCTCGGAAGTTTGGGGGTTCCGTGTTCTACCAGGTGATGCCTAATAGATGCCTGATACAGCTCATGAGTCAGTAAGAGGAGGATAGAGCGTAATCCTTGCCATGCGCTCCGGGCTGCCCCAGGTACTTTCTTCACGGATGCTGGATGCTTCCAAGGTAACCCAGTCCTTTCATTCCCGCTCCTACCGAGATGCCGGGAAAGCACTCCCGCGCTGATGCGGGGTAGGCAGGTCCTGCGCCCTGCGAGCGGTAACTGCGCTCGGCGTCGTCCTTCCCGAAGTCCTTGGTTTACGCCTCTTCCCATCGAGTCGCCCCAAAGCCCCTCCTCCAGCCATCCCCCTCCTTGTGGGGGCAAAAGTTTAAGGGCGGGCTCCCTTCTCATTAAAGCGCGCCGGGGCCTCTTTAGTGGCCGGACTGTAAAGGGGCCCGAAGGTCCACGGCGCTTTCCTCGCTCTTCTCTAGCCCCAGCTCGGCGGGTGGGGACAGACGCTGAGACTGTCGGTGGCCGGCGCTGACGCGTCCTGGCCGTAGGGTGCCTCCCAGCTCGAGGGACTTATTTAAATATTTGGGGCAGGGCACCCTGCCAGGACCCCAGGAAGCCGGCGCAGATTTGGCGGGGACCCCGAGGCTGTGGCGCACTTGCCCCAGCGCAGCGCGAGCCCTGGGTGCGCGTGGGTGAGAGTGAGGTTGCGCCCGGGGCCAGCGGGAGGCGGACCCGCCAGGCGGCAGGTGGGTGCGGCCGGCTGGAGCCAGGGCAGCGGCGGCGGCGGCGGCGGCAGCGGCGGCAGCAAGTGGTTGGGCCGTGCGCATTTCCTTCCCTCCCCCTCGGCCTCGGAGCCCGCCAGTGGTGCCCAGTGTGCGGCGCCTTCGGCTCCGCTCAGCGTCCCCTCCCCGCCACCGCCGGCCGCACCCTTCACGGTCCGTCCATGTCCCTGCCCGTGGTGCTCCCGGGCTCCTGCTGCCCCGTGGCTGGGCTTTCGGGTGGGCCGCAGACCGGGGGCCCGGGCGCCGCCGCCGCCGCCGCCCAGGAGCCGCCGCTGCCCCCGCTGCGGCCGCGCTGGCCCCGGGGCGCGCTGCAGCCCCCGTCGCGGCCTCGCTGCGGGGCCACCGCTGCCGCCGGGGTTCTGGCCGCGCCGCCGGCGCTCTCCTCCCGCCGGGCAGCCGCCGCCGCTGCCGCCGCGGCCCCGGGCTCTGCGCTACTGCCCGCCCGCCCGCTGCTGTCACTCGGGCTGCTGCAGCTGATCCTGGGCTGCTGCATGGTGGCGCTCAGCTTCGGGGCGCTGTCGCTGAGCAGCTCTCCGCAGGTGAAGAACTCGTGCCCGTTCTGGGCCGGCTCCTCGGTGAGTACCGCGCGCGCGCCCCGCTCGCCCGGTCATCCCGTGGATAGGGGGCTCTGGTCGTACCCTTCCATTGTCCCTTAGTTGGCCTCCAGGGCTGCAGTTGGGGGAGCCTTAACGCCACCTGAAGTTTTTGGAGCCTGGAGAAAAATGTTCCGCGACGGTCGAGTTCAGGGGTGAATTGGGCTGCACCTGGGTAGTGTCTGTTGCGCGCAGGCTGAAGGATTTTATTGTCCCTGTTAAGCTAATAGAATTAAGCAAAGACACCCAGCTCTTTGGGAGATTGGAAGGACAGGGTGTGGGTGGCAGGAAAGTGGGAGGAAAGTGATTAAACTTCTTTTGGTCGTTGAGTATTTGCTGCACTGACAACGTCTGTGCTGGGAGGGCAGGGATTTTGATCATTTTTGTTCACCGATGTATCAAGAATGCCTGGCACATAGTAGGTGTATTTGTGGGATGGGACAGTTTCGGACACATCGCTTGTTTTATTCTCCATTAAGACACACGTAAATGTGAAATGTGTAGGGTGGCTCGACTCCCAGACGAGTTCAGGAGGTAATGAGAGGGTGTGTGTGAACTGGCGCTTGTACCTGGTCATTAAAGGAGGGCCTTAACCCCACTTGGTTCCTGGAGCCATGCAGGCTGCTGTGCAGAATTCAGTTTGTGAGAACCGGGACCTGTCATTAGGGACGAGCTGGCCAAAGGTCCTGGAGCACGCAGCAGCTAGCTAGAGATGTCTGCTCTCCAGGACCCACTCCTCCAACCGGGAACGCTGAGCCTGGGGCCAAAGAGTGCCCAACTTCAGAGAAAAGCTGCTGCCAGCCAGTATCTACGGACACCGGGTGGTCACTCCCCTCCACCTCCTAACAATCGCACCATGTCCAAGGCATGTAACCCCCTGAAGTTTTCTGGGTGTTGAGAGACTGGGAAA